TTTTTTGTTTGAGGAGGGGGCGGCCCGGGCTGGGGGGAGGGGTCACGGGGGGGGGGGGGGGGGGGTATTGCTTCCGTACTGGCCCTGCGAGTGCAACTTGGGGGTGCTGCAGAATCTTGAAATCAAAAGCATGAGATTCAGATTTCTGGAAATTTCATATTATAACCTTGGATTCAGCCATATTTAGAATTTCTGCTGTGGATCCAAAAAAGCAATAATTGGACCTATCTATTGAGGTACAATAAATGTACAAGTTCATTTGATCCAGCAGTTCCACTCCTACAGTTGGGCACGAATGCCTGTAGATAGGGAAAAGGTGTATTATTTGTGGGAGATTCATCAGTAATAGCTGAGAGCTGGAAACAAGCCAAAAGTCCATCAACAGTAAGATTCCCAAATTAATTGGAGTATATTCATGAAATGCTGTACTGCACATCAAAGAAATGAACAAACTTCAGCCTTTGGAAACAGCTCACAAACACGAGATGAAGCTCTCACAAATGTAACGTTAAGCAAAGAAGCCAGGGTCCCTCATATACAGTTCAAAGCCAGGCCAGAACGAAGTGCATATGGATGCGTGACAAGTTACCGAAAAACACAAGAAAATACAAACCATCAAAGAGCAAGCAGCAGACAATTTCCAAGAGGGGAAGGTGAGGTTGAGGGTTGCACAGTTGGGAGAGTTGGGAGCTAGCATTGTTCCTTAACCTTGGTGGCTTCTATTTGGGTTTTCTTGTCGTGATAAACCATCTGTGGAGGCACTTGGGTGCCCTCAGGGATTTGAAGGAAATTTCTGTCCTAAAGGCAGAGGAAGCCAGGCTAGGACCCCCAAGTTCTGTGTTCAAAAGTGGTGCCTAAACGCTCACAAAATGCTAAGAATTCTGCAGGAAAAGGATCACATTCCACATCCTGTGGGTGCTCCGTGGGGGCAGCTTAATCTAAAGGATAGAAGTAGCCCCTTAAGGCCAGGAGTGAATTGCTCTTCTTTCCTAATTAAAATAGTGAGCAAACAGCCTAATGTTTTTTTTTTTTTTTTTTTTTTTTTTTTTTTTTTT